GGGAAGCTCCGTTCGAGGACAAAGGGAAGCTCCGTTCGAGGACAAAGGGAAATTTAGTGCATTGACAGAGGACAAAAGGAATGTCATTCGAGGACAATAGGATGCAAGTCTGAGAGCAGGTAGAAACGGTTGCTAAGGACAAAGGAACGATAGCATTACCGATGCTATCATGGTCTTTCTTGTCGAAACTACTTAAGGTGGACCTCTCTTCCTTTTTGACATTCCGATCAACATCCAGCTCTCTCATCTTTCGTCCATTCTCGAACTCTCTCATATAACAGCCAGCGACCCGACAAGCACAGAAGCAAAATGTTCGCCCAGAGCTCCCGTTTCGAAACTGATACGCCTGTTGATCAGGAGAATGGCGGAGGCGTGAGTCATGTGAAGACGATTTTACACAAACACAGCTGACGAAACTTTTTAAAGGGCAATGGCGGGTACTCGTGTTCCGTCATGAAGTCTGAGGAGCTTGTCAATCAGGAACACGGCCATGATGTAAGCCTGAGATGATGAAGATAGACGCGATCACAACGTATAGCTTATGATCGAGAGACTCACACACAGGTCGGCGGTTATTCCTGCGTGATCGTTTGAATCTCGCGCGTGTCGAATGCCATGGTCATTCCTCTGTAAGTTTGTGGCCGATCGCGAACTCGAAACATGTATTGGCCTCTGAAGCAATCCAGGTTTTTTCCGCCAGCCTTTTGTCCTTTTCCATGCCAACGTCTCCGGATAACATTGCTCCAACACACTCTTGTAGTGTTCAACCACTGCCTTCTCTCCTCCAATATCATATCTTATATACAACAAAATTCTTTCTGTGAGCTTGGGTCACGATTGGCTTCTTCTGTTTTCACTCTGTCCTTTCAAGCAAGCTACTGGGTTGCGTGAAGTGGCTGCCCAATAGTGCTGATTTGTCTTGCGATGTCATCGCCACTGCGTCCAGACAGCTCAAGTAGGTGGTGAAGATAAGTGAAGGTGATGTATCGAGAATAGTCTGAATGTATACAGGGAAACGATAAGAAAGGCAGTGACTCAAACGATGAGGTTCTCGATGGAAGATGAAGCGAAGGGAGATATTCCCAAACCGGTCTCCATCTCGCCTCTAGCCGTTCGGATACGCTCTTCAACGTAATCGAGTGAAAGAGAGCCAAAGTGGCTCACGCTGCAACAACTCGATGCAGGCGAATCACCTCCACCCTCTCGTCGCCTTATCGGCTCGAAGCTGTCCTTGCCGAAGGTGGGCGTGTTAAAAGGTTGCCTGGTTGAGCGCTGCCACTTCTCTTCTGATACTATCCCCTTGTGCAGACCCGGAGGCAGGGGAGGAGGATCATCGATGATACGCGGTCCGCATGCACCGCCACCGGCGCTGCTGTTGCTACATGCGCTTCCACTGCGCGACCGAGAGGTCCCTTGTTGCTCGCTTGCAGCGGTTACAAAGGATGAAATGCTAGCCGAAGAGCTCCCTGGTCGAGATTGAGACGCCGCTCTTCGCTCGGTGACGGCTCTGAGGCTACCAAATGACTGTGCAGATTCGCTTTTGACAAAGGTCTCCACCTGCGAGCCAAAGCTGCTGGCCAGTGATGTCGAGGTAGCTTCCGACCGACCGTCAGACTGTGAGATCCAGATTCTGGTTGAGGATGACGTCGAAGAGGAGCCAGAAGAGCCGCTTCTGGAGTGTTGCCTTGGTCGAGCGTGAAAATGCGACTTTGCAGCAGAGGCCGTCGCAATGCTCCTCGATCGTGGGCGTGGTGACGAGACAGAGTTGCGAGACGGCCGTTTTGGAGGAAGAGGCGCTGGTCGGCTCGATGAGTGGAGCAGGCCATCGAGCGTCGACGTGTCCAAGGTGGTCGTCGCTTCCCTTGCACCATTCCGACCCTCGCTCCACAGACTGTTCACTTTGCGTCGTGTGGGCGACGAGAGCGAGCACGGCAGCAGGATTTGATGCGCCAGACTTGCTTGGACCGTATTCTTGCTGAGTCTGGCTTCCTCTTCTACTTTGGTTATCGCAACGAAGGAAGAATGAGTGCCGGTATGAGGTTGAGGGCGCAACTCTTCTTCAGCTTTGCGGCAGACGAGGTCGCTAATTTCCTCGAGTGTCCTCACTCTGCAAGAGGCCAGCTTGAAGGCACCTCTTTCAACATCTGACTTTTCGAGGGCTTCCTTTCCGGCCCATTCGTCAGGCCCGCTTTCTTTTTGACCATGTTCAGCTAGGTCGGCCTTGCTGGTGACACTGCGAGAGGCTTTTCGAAAAAAAAAGGAGCGCGATCGTCCGTGACCGCGCGAAGGGGAAGAAGGCGGAGGCGACGACGATGACGATGATGACGACGTTGATAACAATGAAATCGTCGGCGCTGCAGAGGCAACCGAGGTGTTTTCGGAGAAAGTATCGGTAGCCCTTGTCGCCGTAGTATTCTTCCGAATCAAAAGTAGTTCCGCATTGAGCGGTTCTTCCCTTCTCGGGGTCGATAAGCCATTGGTCGCTGAGGGCAAATCACGCTTCTTTGTTGTCGATAGACTGTCACCCGTCGACCAGACTAGCTTTCTGCTTTTGCGTTTTGCCTGCGATTGCACAGCCGCTGCGGTCGGGGCGCCGTCTGTCGAAGAGCTCATCAGGGAGGATTAAGACGAAGGCAGTCAAGAGTCGAAGCAGATTGCCAGGAACCCGCTTCGCTCTCCAGCGCTCCTTTATGAGTGTCTGGGAGCAGCCTGCCATCCGCCACTACCAAAGTGATCCCTGCTTCTATCGGACTTTATAATGCCCTTAATCCACCACCTTACCTCCTGGCCGTCAATTCTTACTGACAGTCGCAAGAAGAGAGGAATCACGACGATGCTCGCAGTAATGTCCTGCGCTGTTCTACCCCTCGCCGCGCTGATCAGCTACTTAGCGCAGCCAGAGGTACAGATATGGACTCCGAGATTGGGTCTTTGCAAATCAAAAGCCGAAGCAGGGCCAAGTACTCAACAAAGACCCCTCTGCTCAGGCTACAACATGCAACCCTTGATGGGATGCAAGTTATTATCGCCACATCACCAGTGACACGTCGGACTGTTGATGATTTGATTCCGAGGAGACCCTTGCAGCTCTGAAGAGGAACAAGACCTCCAACCTTCTTTTTTAGACTTGTTACAGCAAGGGGTGCTAAGCTAAACCTCCAGATTAGCGCGCTAGGTACACTACCAGACTCGACGTGTGTACTACTCATAATTTGTAAGAAACCCTTCAATGTGCACATTTGCGTCCGTCGCCTCAGCGCGAAAGGTAGCTGGGGTCAACGAGACAAACTCTTTTGTCGAGAGATCACGTCCTCGGCACGTGTCGTGGCTGGCTTGCCTTTGCGGGTGTCCTTGCCGCCGGCTGACCCTTGGTAAGAGATACACCTTCAGAGCCATGCCTTTGTCGACACGGAAGAACATGAAGCGACATAATCTTGACATTGAATGACGATCTTGGCAAGCACGATGACAGACCGCTGGCTCGCACAACGGAGGCCGATACGGCCTCTTTCTCCGCACCACTCTATCAAGAAAGTACTGTACTGTACCTTCCAGCCGACCAGGGAAGATAGCAGTATTACCGCTGCATCTTTGCGCAAGAAACCTCGTTCTTGAATTCGGATCTTTCGAAGACAAAAAGTGCTCATTTCAGCAACCTCGGGACCTACGGCCGGACGATCAAAAGTTCAAGAACCTATATCTGTCGATAATGTCTCTTGCTAGACGCCGCGTAGGTCCTTGTACCGCCCGAGTCCAAGACCGTAGCAAGTCTCTCTGTGCGAGATCGCATTATCACGTAATGAAGCCTTCCTCTGTGCAACGTTTCCAAGGACGAGAAGGAATAAGGATACTAACAAGAACGCCGGTGTCATTTGTCTCGAGGGCCCGGAGAATGAAAGGAAAAAGATTGTACAGTATGTAGTGGTAACAAAGTACTGTAATGCCCTTCGACAGTGACATTGATATGAAAGCAACGACACCGTGCTTCCACACCTTATTTCCTTCAGTATTGATAGTATCACCAAGTTTACTTATGGCAATACTGTGCGCAGCATGAGCATGTATTGCAACATTTAAGTGTTTGAGCCAAGGCAAATAAGGAGCATTCTATCCCGTAGAACAAACAGATAATTCTTTCAGAAAAGGTCTAGAGAGCGTGCAAAGGAAACACGCCCTAATTTGCCGATTTCAGATTAAATTGATAGAGGGTGACCCTGCCAAGCGGGCAAAGGCCGAGCAGAAAGAATACAGAATAGTGCTGGTAGTAAAAGGTGGAAAAAGGGAACAGAACAAATCCTCCTCTTTCTTTTGATTTTGAATTTGAATTTGAAGGTGTGCCGACTAACCGACATCAGCTCGTCGTCACTTGAGTGCTCCTCGACCGTCTCGTCGCAACTTGGGCCGAAGATCTCCGTAACTATCGCCAAGTGAGGAAAAGAGCGAGAGCGGAATCACTTGAGATCTACCTTGCTTCGATTTTCGACCGAGGGTGGCGGCGTGGGCGGCGGCGTGGGCGGCTCCAGCTTCTTTCATCTTGATCCACGTCGTCAACCAATTCGCCGAACCCTGATGCGTAATTCAGCTCACGACGACGGCAACGATCACCAGCGGCAGCAGCAAGAGTGGCAGTAGCAGCAGAAACGCAAGCAGCAACAGCAGCAGCAGCGACAAGAGCGGCCAAAGTCTCTAGACTGAGGTCGCGCTTGCTCACTCACAGGAGCTGCAAGCGCCATCTGTAGCACGCGAGAGACGAATGACTATGCTCGGCGAACGTGAAGGACGGCGCACGAGCAATCAGAGCAGTGCGAGCAGCAGTCGCTTGGTGGGGGAGGAGCTGGGCGGAAGTGCCAACGGAAGTGGCCTCAGTCGCCTGTCCAAGCTGAGGTGGGGCAATCACCGCTACCCCCATCAGGGCTCCAACCAGAGCAGCGTGCATTTGACGCCTGACGACGACCGGCCCTTGGGACGATCACAAGATATGACTGGGCCTTATATCATCGCACCCGCTCCTCAATCCCTGCATCAGCATGAGATTGTGATGGAACGCCCTCGTCGGCATGGCTCCTCTGTGTCGCAGCAGCACGACAACCACCAGCAAGCGCGTCCTTCTCCCGCTCCTCATGCTCTCTTTTCTTCTTCGTCTTCCTCGACCTCTTCTTCGTCTTCCTCTTCTGCTGCTGCTGCTGCTGCTGCTGCTGCTGCTGCTGCTGCTGCTACATCTGCTGCGACTCCAACCCGACCAATCTACCATCGCGATGCCGCCTCGACTGACAACATAGGAAGCAACACCACAGCTGCCTCGTCGCCGAGCTCATCCGTCGCATCGATACCCCTTCGATCGCCGCTGATCACCTCCGCTTACAAGGATCGAGAGCTGCCGGATCTGCCGCTGCCAGGCAGCGACGTGGGATTTCCACGCCAAAGTGCTTCTCAAGGCAACAGTACAGCGTCCAGCAGCAGCTCTCCACAACCGCAAACGCAGACACAAGCGCAGGCGCACATGCCAATGGCAGAGGCACACTACCCTCCCTCAACCAGAAAGAATGCATTGCGACCAGGCAGACACATGCTCAAGCGATCTCAAAGTTCCATCAAGAGCAACGTCACCATCGAAGATGGCCATCAACAGCAGCAACAGCAGCGGCAATGGCCGAATGCAGCCTCGCACTCTTCTGCATCCCCGTCCTCGGCCGCCGTGGGATCAGGGATAGGCAAGTCGCCTAGCTTGGCAAGGGGTGAAGGGCGGGCAGAAACAAAAGCGGGAGCCAAAGCAAGGGCAGAAGCAGGAGCAGGAGCGTGGCCGCATGAAGAGCCGAGGAGCGAAATAGGGGAGAGCACAATGGGTCCAAGTGAAGTCTCCTCGCCCGTCGCCGGTGCTGGTGGTGCTGCTGTGAGCTCTACCAGTACTGCCAGCGGCTGGCTCAATCGGGCAGCGATCAAGGCGGCCAGTCAGAGTGCGAGCGCCGGTGCAGGCCTCAGAAAGCTCGGCAAGGCCTCGGCAGCTCGGCTGAGACAGGCGCAGCAACAGCGAATGGAGCGGTCACGGGAGAGTCCATCACCTGGGCTTGGCTTTGGCGCACTGGGAAGCGGCCTGGCAAAGTACGGTGGCCGAGCAGCTCGCTCGGCCGCTGACCTCACCTCGACGCTCTCGTCGGCATCTTCGCCCCACTTTGACATGCCCGCCTGGCCGCCCTCGGGCCTGTCGCCCGACCCGCGGATCGGCCTGCCGACCGACGTCAAGCACAATGTCCATGTCGACGTCGGTCCGATGGGCTACACGGGCCTGCCCGCCTCGTGGGCCCAGGTGCTCTCCTCGTACGGCCTCGACGCCGACGCTGTGCGAAGGGATCCTGCTACAGCGGCCAATCTGGTGAGGGAGAGGACACGATACTATGTTGAAAAAGAGGCCGAGATGGGCAGGGACCCCGAGACGGCGAGGCGCGAGCTCGAGACGAGGCTGGGTGACTACGAGGACCTGCAGCGAGCCATGCTCATCACCCCCGAGCCCGATGACTGGAGGAAGCTTGCGACGGCGACGTCGACGGCGACGGCATCATACCATACTGCCTCATCGTCACCTCGCACGGCAGCGAACAGCGCCAGTAATCCGAACCACGGCACAGCAACGACGGCCCTGCGGAGGCAGGCTTCAGTGGCCAGCACGTCCTATAGCAGCGTCCTCTACAAGGCCTGGCCTTCACCCTCGTGGTCCGAGGCACCCTCTCTCCCCTCTTCGCCCTCAATGATGCCTGCGAAGACGATGCAGCAGGACGAGGAGACTGTCGATGATGATGATGACCTCGCTGGCACTGCGACGACGACGACGACCACTACCACCACCACCACTAGCCGCACAGCGAGCACTGCAGATGCGCACAGACTACCCATGCTCAACAGCACAGAAGACGATGGCTGGGCCTCGGCCCTGCTGAGCGCCCTTCCTGACGCGCCTCGAGGCCAGCCAGGAGGTGCCTCTTCTGCTGTGCAGGCTCCTAGTACCTCGAGACGCAGCAAGAGGAGGTCGCGATCACTGGACTTGACGGCATTGGCCCGCGTTAACAGCCTGGGCGGCAAGGGGAGCAAAGGCTTGGGCCTGTTTGAGGAAGACGACGACGAGGCCGATGGAGAAAGTGCCGAAGAAGAGCGCGATGGCGAGGATGACGACGAGAAGCAGAGAGGTGCAAACGTGCTAAAGAGATGGGAAAAGCATACCGAGGAAAGAGACGACGACGACGACGACGATGTCGACGACAGGGAGGAGGTTGAAAGGGACGAGACCGAGGATGACGACGAGGAGAACGAAGACGACAATGGAGGGAGGGAGCATACAACTGGGTCCTATGCCGAAGAGCAAGAGGAGCCCGCCCAGTTTGCGACCGTCTCCAAGCTCAACCTGACCAAAGCCAGTCCACTGGAATACCACGACGCTGTTGTAGTACAGAGTCAGAGTGCGAGCGCTCAAGACAGGTATCCCCCTGCCAGGGCAGGTGTGAGCCATCCAAAGCAGAGCCATGGCACTTGCTCTACGAGCCCGCCTCCGGCTGCTCCAAAAGAGATCAATGGACACAGCCAGCAGACCCCGTCGGTCTCAACTTCTCGCTCCACGCCTTCACTTACGGACACGACGTCGAGCGGAATGTCGCATGTGCAGCCGCGACAGGAGTGGTCCTCTCCTGTGCCTCCGTCGCCTACCTCGTCAAGTTCGCAGTGCCCCGGGCCGGCGCTTCTTCAGCCGTCCACCAGTGGATGTATGGCCGCCACTGCTGCCTTGCAGGCCAATGGCGATGGCGAGATTCCAAATGAAGGGCCCTCAGTAGCCGTGGGCAGCCTACGAGAACGGAGAAAGGTGCCGCCTCGCATTCATCCACCTTCGGCTGCAAGGATCGTGTCGTCCGACGAGGCCTTTTCACCCTACTCACTGGCCTCGAAGCGCGCCCAGCACTCTGGCAGCCGGACATCAGTCGCATCTCAGGGTGCGCCCCAGAGTGCAGACGGATCCCTCTCCTCTCCCTTACCGCACGCAGCTGGAGAGGTCGGCTCCCTCGCCACCGGTGCGGCCAGCAGCCCTAGACGGCAGTCCAGGGCTTCTTCGCGCGGCTCCTCTGGCAGCTATGGCCATGCCACTGCTTCTACATCAAAGACGGCGGTGCCACCATCTCTACTTTCACCTGGCGTGTCCAACGGTCATGTCGTCAATCAGGCCTCTTCACCCGTGTCTCTGTCGTCCCCTTTGACATCGTCCACATCAGCTTCGGAGATGGAGGGTAACGCGCCGCCGCTCCCTCCCAAAGCCGCTCGTGTGCCGCCTGGTCGCTCCAAGCCCGACTTCATTCTGCCGGGCAAGGACGGTTTCTACACTGCGCCTGCGCTTCCGAAGTCGCCTGCGCCTTCGACCACTGCCGCGTTCTCGGCAAGGACAAAGAGAAAGCCGGCACCCGTCCTACCCGACATCAGCGACGAGCCGCAAACACACCCTGAAGCGGCCTCGGAGAAGCACAAGTCCAGCTCCTCGCCCCTCAGCGCTCATTTTGCGACGTCGCAAGAGGGTTCAACGGAAGCCGACGCTGTATCGACGCAAGCGACGGGTGATGAGGAGCATGACCGTGGCAACTTGCAGTTTATCGAGGACTGGCTCGAGGCCGAGGATGACGGCGACGATGGCCTGACGGCGACGTCATCAACGAGGAGTGGAGGCGTGAGTCCCGTGCATGGGCGCCTCGAGCACGAACACGAACCAGACCGTCTCTCGCCCTCGCCTTTGCCCTCGCCCGCTTCGTCTACCCACAGCGGCGGCTTGTCGCCCAGATCGGCTACTTTCACCTCGCGCTCCACAAATACAGCCTCGAGCTGGAGCCAAGGGAGCCTGGCATCGCCCCGTCACCTCTCACCAGGCCAATCGCCGTCATTGCTGCGAGCGGCGCTACCAGGCGAGCGCTGGGCACCACGGAGAGATCCAAAGATGCGATCCCTGCCCCCGCCTCCTCACCAAGACGGGCATGATGGTGCTGACGACGAAGGCGACGACAAACACGGTCTGTCATTCGAAGCGCGCATGGGGCCGGAGGCTCAGCAGGGCCTTGCCAGAGAGGAGCGGCGCCACTTTCAAGACTTGGCAGCCTCTGAGGCCGGTTGGAGGTCCACGGAAGACGTTGTCGACTCTTTTCGCGAGGGCAAGGGACTTGAGTCGAGGTCGTCGATTGCCAGTCTGCCTCCCGAGTCAGACTTTCCATTCTCCTCCTCTTCATCCTATGGTCCCCCGTCTGCGGACCCCGAAGCCGTCGAAGCTGCAGCCCTCAGTCGACCGAGCAGTCGCAACTCCCGATCATCCTCGCGCTCCGGCCGTCGATCGACGAGGGCGCCTAGGAGAAGCACCGATGCGCGAAGGTTCCCCGTGTCGATGCACTATGACGCAGACACCTTTACACTTGAAGACTCTGCCGCCGCCGTGAGCTTTGCTGAGCTGATGAGGGCACGGCAAAGCATGGACCTCAACGATGTCTTGCCAATGAGGATGGACGGGGACCCAGTGAGCGGGGACAGCGTGCCACCGGTGCCACCTCTTCCACAAACAGTCCCCCCTCTCTCTGCAGCGCTTGATGGCCACCAGGCAGATGCATCGGCACCGGCTGATTCGGTTCCGCATAGGTCAACAGCCGCTGAAGGAGCTGCTTACCGTGTCAATGTCAATGTCGTTGACACGAGGGATCTCAGTGAAGGCGACGAGGGCAACGAGAGCAACGCAAATCTCTCGCTCGCTAGTGTCGACATGGTTCGACAGCTCAAGGGCATGGTCCGACGAGACAGGCTTGACGGAGCGTTGGACGATCTCGTCATGATCGCAGAGGGCGAATCAGGTGACGTCTTTGCCACTGCACCAATGACCCAGATGGACCTCCCCGCGTCGCTTAAAAGCCACAAACATCTGGCCGTCAAAGTCATCCGCCTCCCACGACAAGACGAGGGCGTGGCACCAAGATTCAAGGGCCTGGACAAGGAGTTGAAGCTGTGGAAGGGAGCATGCGGAAATGCCAACGTCGTGAGCCTCTACGACGTCTTCTTGTCGCCGCTGGGCGAACGACACGAGGGCGTCTGGATCGTGCAAGAACTCATGTCGATGGCCTTGGCCGACGTCATTGCGCTTCACGCCAGCGGCTTGACTCTCTCCGAGGCCCAGATGGGCCGCGTCATGGCCGACGCCGCTGCTGGGCTCGAGCACCTTCACGCCCAGGGCATCGTCCATCGCGACTGTCGGAGTGACAACATTCTCCTGTCGGCCGAAGGAATAAGCAAGCTGGCTGATTTCACCCACGCGGCCGAGCTGACAAGTGACACTGCCAAGAGGTCCAGCGTCGTGGGGACGGCCTATTGGATGGCACCGGAAGTGGTCAAGGCCGAGCCCTACGATGCCAAGGCTGACGTTTGGTCTTTGGGCGTCGTTCTCTATGAGATGGTCGAGGGCGATCCGCCCCGTGTCGACTTTCCAGCCCTGAGGGTGAGCAAGCTATTTGTTTTCTCCACCTCAGAATTGCTCTCGCTCACTGCTGCTTCCCTTTTTTACTCGTCTCACTCTATCCTTTCTATTCCTAGGCAATCACCTTGACAGCAAAGCATGGCCTTCCTCCCTTGAGCACGCCGGAGCGATGGTCGATGGCTCTCAAGCAGTGCTTGGCCTGGTGCACAGAGATGGAAGCTGAGAAACGGCCCTCAGCTGACATGCTCGCATCCGTGAGTCGGAAAATGAATAATCCTCTCTACTCCCGCTCGCTGCTGACGAGATATGCGACAGAGCGAGCTGGTAGCGTCGGCATGCAGCCATTCGGACATGTCCATCCTATTGCAGCTGGCTAGGCAGCTTGAAGAAGAGGCAGATACCGGTGACGATGCCTCAGAGGAGCTCGTGTCGTTGGAGAGAGACGAGAATCACAGCCAGCACGACTCTGACGACGAATCGTCCCCCCAGCGACGTGACAGTTGGAACTCGCAGAGCACCATTCATGCTTGAGAAACGAACTTTACCTGTGTTTTAGCTACGTGATATAGCATTCGCTTCCATCATTCTCTCCATTGTTAACACTATCGTCGTCGTCAGGCTTTCGAGTCGATGGCATTTTCTGTCCCTCCTGCGCCGCCCTCTTTCCCGTCAATACTTTGAAGTCTATATTAATTCAGATTTGGATACCAATTTTCTTTGGGCTTTTGCTTTTGTGCCCATTGTTCGAAAGGTTTGACGTTCCCTCCTTATCTTATTCTCTTAAAGTTCATTTTAGAGTCGTGCACCGCTAAGAGAACAATGGGCGATCCATTTTCTAGGTGTTCCCTTTGTCCTAACTGCGTATTATGACGCCCGGCAAGAAGCCCAACATCTGTGATGTGATGAGTTGCCCAGGGCAGACAACATCGGGCAGCAAGGTGCCGAGCGTGGTTTCCTGTAACGCAGACGGGCAGCCGGCGCTGTATGGAGCCGAAGCCGTCGATGGGGCGGCGGCACAGAAGATTGTCACTTCGGAGCCAGCGATAGTTGAGGGCTGCTTAAAGGCTAAGGGACGTCCTGCCTCTTCCCTCTCTTCACCACCTCGTCCCCACCCCTTCATCTACTTTCTCTATCCGTCACGAGCACTCACAAGATGCCATTCGATCATCTCAAGAATGAAATGGTTCTGGTCTCACGATGGAAAGCTGGTGCGAGATCTCTGTACGTTGAAACCGTTTTGATTTACTCGCGCCGCAACCAAGCTGGAGACCTGAAACTTCGCAGGGATCTGACTCGTGATCCAGCCAACATTCAATTACATGTGAGAGTGCATAAAGGATGCAAAGAAGCGCAAACGAGGGAAGAAGACAGGACAGTAAAATAATCGTTATCGGACTGCGACGTCAGAACACGACGAGGGTGCTACATTATTGGCCATAGGTGTAATCAGAAAGCATCTGCACGTTCGCCTACTCCTGTGGAGGCAGATGGTGCTAGGGTTGGTTCATTTTACGCTGAAGGTGGCTTCGAAAGAGCGAGGGACGAGCGACGCTAGGAATTAGGAAGAGGAAGGGGACAGAAGCAGGGCTTAAACCGGTTCTGAGAGGGTGCAGGCGGCGTGAGTGGCATCTTCATTGCAGGGGTGAAGGCCATCTCTAAATCTTTGCACGTTACTTCAATTTTCTCAGAAGCCGCCGTCGGCCAGCTCGCTCTCAACAGCCTCTTTCGCAGACCTTCGGCTTGCCTCCTTCCCAATGTCTTTCTTGCCAATCTCTCTTTCTCTCTCTATCTCACTCTTCCTCCCTCCCCTCTCCCACATCTAGTACCTACCCCACTACCCCAATCCCTCTTGGCCCTCGTTGAGGGGCGCTGGATGAGCAGACAATGTGAAGGAGTCGGTGACGCACCGCTTGGCAATGGCTCAATGTCGAGATTGCCCACCTGCTCTTCTAGCTCAGTTGCGCCCTTGCCCTTCCTCGTCTTCTTTGGCCCTCCTCGATCGATCAATCACATCCTCTTCGCTCCTTTCCTCCTCCTTGTTCTCCTTCTTTCCCAAGCCTTTCCTTCTTTGCCACTCCGCAATCACTTAAATTCAGTGGATTGCATAGGTCTGCATTCGAGTGGTAAAACAACGGTGACAGCTACGATGAGCCGACGAAATTCCTCGCCTTGATAGCCTCGCGATTCGCGCGCCGGAGCGAACGCCTGGCCTCGGCTCTGGCTGCCTCGGCTGCTTCTGCGGCCCTGATCGAGGCCTCTGCCGACGCAAACCTCTGCTCTGCAGCATCCCGTTGTCCCACTGCCTTTGCACTGTTACCCGCAGCAACCGAGTCCGCCGAACCGTCGACACCACCTCTCCGCTGCTGAGCACGGGCGGCTTTGACGCTCCTCTTCTGTGCCGCCCTCGCCTCGCCCTTTGTCATCGTCGATGCGCCTGCTGCCCCACCTGAGGATGAGGGCGAGCCAGAGACGAGATCTGAATCACCGACGATGCTCCAGAGCCACGCAGGATAAGCCTCGTCAGCCTTGGCAAGCGGGTCTGGCCGGTCCTTTTCGATAGAGAGGCCAGTGAGAGGCGTGCCTTCCCGGCAGGATGACAGCAGCTGCTTCTTTCCACTCGTCGCGCCTGCATGCACTGCCAAACGCTCAGCCGTGGAATCTATTTAGGTCATTTGCTCATCAGCGACTTCTCCTCTGGGCAGAAGGGCAAGACTGTCTTCTCACACACCTGCTTGTCCTTGTGCAGCGTCGGTGGCATATGCTTTTGAGAAGACGCTGGGTGATACTTTTCGAGGTAGAAGCGCTGCCACTGATGAAGACGAGGCGACCGACTGGGACAGTCGGCAAGCGTGCACTCGCATGTTGTTGTGATCAGCGTACCTGTGAAAGTCGGGGCGAACAAGGCTTGAGAAGCCAGACAACGAAAAAAGGCGGCTATGGTTAAAAATTAGTTAGGGTGTGAAGCACGTGGGAAAAAGGAAGCCAGGAGAGGCAGCCCAAGTTGGGTTCAAGACATCGCGAAAGGTGGTGGGTGGGCGGGCACAGAGCAGCAGATGCCTTTGAGCACTATGTGCCCTAATTAGCTTCAGGTATTTTGAATGCTTGAAGGGCTTCTCGGTCATGAACTCGTGATCCTGATCATCTCAGAAAAAGAAAGCCGACATGATCTCAATTACTATAGTCCCGGCCAAGTGAAGAAGAATCGGGAGGGCCTGAAGGGGGGCGTGTTTCGTGGTGGCAGTTGCGCTGCACTGGTACACGCCAGATCCATTCTTGTTTTGGCTTTTTCCTCCCTTTCTTGGGATTGGGTCTCTGGAGAAGCACCGCGCGGGTTCTTTTGCTAAATTTTGGTTTTATTTATTTTTCAAAAAGAAAGGGAGGACCAGCCAGACAACAACAGGGATTCATCGACACAAGCAACACCACGAATAGAAAGGCTTGCTCGCTCGCACCGGGGACTGCTCCTGCGCGCACGTTCGAACAAGCAAGCAAGCGATCAGCAGGACTGCGCATCGCATCACGGATCGCCGCATTCTGACCGGACGCCGACGACACGCGCAGGATCCTCTCTTTTTCCGGCAGTGAACGGGCTTCCGTAGCCAATCGACGCACGCCGTCGTCACCACCAAAGCGCCCCCACTACCTGTCTGAGCTTCCCTCCCCCCCCTCCTTTGCCCCTTTTCTCTCCCCTCGTTTCCCTCTCTGTGTGCTTGCGTCGCAGTCACTGCGGCCTGCGTATCAGGCCGCCTGGCGCTGTTTCTCGAAGACGCCCTTGGCAGTACGACACCGGCGCCGCCTCGAAGGAGCGAACGCGTGGTTTACTCGACGCATAAGGGGCGAGCAGTGCACGCCTTGCGTCTCTCCCAGACGTGTTTCGCCCGAGGCCTTGTCCTGCTGGTGAGCAAGACAGGCGTGATCGAGCAACTGTGGCCGCGTCTGGTACGACGGCTGTAGTTCGCACGACCCTTGGCTCTTTGTTTTTTTTTTTGACATTGGCTACTTACTACCTTAGCTGGGATCAAGACGCGCGCGCATTCTTAGGCTTTGCCAAGGACCGCCACCAGCGACGAGGACACGGCCATGACGGAAGATAGAGAGGTAGCCACCGTTCCGGCGCCTGCCCAGCGGGATGTCAATGGCGACACGACGTCTACCGGACGGCCGTCGAGAAAAAGCAGGCGGGGGAGTGGTGCCTCTCGAGCTAGCAAACGACAAGAAAAGGCAAAGGCTGCGCCTTTGTCTTCATCTTTGTCTTCGTCGCCGCCCCTTCCCCCGCCGACGCCGTCTTTCTCCCAAGAAATGGCACTATCGGTCTCGCAAGCATCGAAAGCGGTGACGGAAGCAGCGCCCACATCATCGGCAGACGACAGGGAGAGGATACATTCGCCTACATTATCGACCTCGCCACTGCCTCCAAATCCAGCAAAGGTCTCGACGACGGCCGCACAGACAATCGGCCCTGCATCATCAAGCAACAAGGCGAAAGCCAGGGATAGAGCGGCCACCGACTCTGTCAAGGGCTTTGGCTCCAGCTCCTTGCCACCCAACCCATACCTCAACCCTTCCAATTACGCCGGGCCTAGCCTCGAAGTGCCTCACTCGTCGCCCTCGTCCACTCCCCTGCCCTCTCGCCGGTCATCGACGCTTTCCATCTCGCCCGTTCCAATGAGCGTCAGCATCGGTACGGCTGATGTCCAGGCCTTGGGCTCGGCATCGTCTGCCTCTACGTCGGCAACGGCGCCCCAGCCCAGTCGTTCTTCCTCACCGTTGTCCAGCCCCCAACAGCATCTGTTCGCCGATGCAAGATTGCCCATTCAGGGCGAACAGGCCATCACGACGATGCGTGCTGCCTCACTGCCCGGAGGTTACGGCAATGCGATGGCGAACGGGAGAACGCGTGCTAGCACCTCTGGCATACACCCGCCGCCGCCGCAGCAGCAGCAGCAACAATTCCGCTTCAATCAGGCTCAGGCAACCAATGGCACCCTGATAGCTGGACTGCCCTCGCAGGCTCAGCTCGCTGCTCAGGCCTCGATGATAATGCACGGTCCACAGCTGCCTGAGCACCCTCCATCTCTCCACCATCAGCACCAGCACCAGCACCAGCATCACCCTCAATCCCACGTCAACGCTCATACTCATGCCCGCGCCCACGCATTTGCTCTCCATCAACTGCAGCAGCAACTCTCGATCCACGAGCGCTTCGTCGGCGAGCTAACCAACTGCATCATTCACTTTCTCAGCCCCATTCTGCCGACCGAGGACGAGTACCGGATAAAGGAGAACACGAGGAGGCACCTCGAGAAGCTCGCCTGCCGCGTCAGTCCCGGTGCGAGGCTGCTAGCATTCGGGAGCATGGCCAATGGCTTTGCTCTGCGCAACTCTGGTGAGCGAAAGCGGAATATTGAAGACTGGAGAAATCTCTCTGCTAACTTGGCACCCTTCTTGTGATGGTTCTCACTCACAGACATGGACCTCTGCTGTCTCTTGGAAAATGTCGAGGGAGGACCAGATGGAAAGCTGCCCCAGCACAAGGCCTCAGAGCTCGTCGAGAAGCTGGGTGCCCTCATTAGAGAAGGTATGTCTGGCCCAAGTGAACGATCTTTGATCCTCGTTTTTGACCCCTCTTGTCCCTTTTCCGCCCCGGTTCTAGAAACCGACTATACCGTCATGCCGCTTCCAAAAGCCAGGATTCCCATCATCAAGATCAGCAGACGTAAGTCAACAGGAGCACACAGAGAGGGAGACCCTCAAGGAAACAGAGCCGGGGCTGACGATATGACGTGGAAGCGGCCTCCCAAGGAGTTCCATTCGAGATTAGCTGCGATATCGGCTTCGAGAATCGATTGGCCCTTGAAAATACGAGGTTGTTGCTCAGCTACGCTATGGTCGACCCGCCTCGACTGCGAACACTCGTCCTCTTTCGTAAGTCTTCTTTACCAGTGTGGCCACGTTGGAGAAAGCAGACGAGAGGACTGACGAGGATTCCGACTGACAGTCAAAGTCTGGACAAAGAGGCGAAAGATCAATTCACCGTGGACGGGCACGCTCTCATCGTACGGCTTCACGCTTATGATGCTCTTCTTCCTCTGCCACGTCAAGCGACCAGCGGTGCTGCCCAATTTGCAAAGGTTGCCGCCTTCGAAACCCATCGCCAAGGAGGAAGTCGAGCTGAACGGCCACAACATCTATTTCTATGACGACATTGCACTCCTTCGACAGGAGTGGACCTCGGAAAATACAGAGACTGTGGGCGAGCTTCTCATCGACTTCTTTCGCTATTTTTCAAAGGAGTTCAGCTATTCAAAGGACGTCGTCAGCATCCGAACAGAGGGCGGACTCATTTCAAAGGACAACAAGGAGTGGACAGCAGAGGTGAGAAACGTGACATCGGTTGCATTGCCAGGACTATGCTCAACTGTCGCCATCAGCTCTGCATTGAAGACCCATTTCAGCTGGGCTACAATGTCTCGCGCACCGTGACCAAGGACGGTCTCTATACCATTCGTGGCGAATTCATGAGGGCTTCACGGATCCTTAGCAATCACCACAACATCGTCAGGGCGGACCGGGTGCAGGCGTCGCTTGACGAGCTCTGTGAAGAGAGGGAGGATGGGTTGACGAGGGCCCCAGAGGGCTATCGACCACGGCAACAGCACGGCAGCTTCAACAACTTTGGCTACTCGGTCGACCCTCGCACCTTGCATCCTCGCGGGCGCCACCACTACGAGGGCCTCATGTCGTCTGGCTTTGGAGGTAGTTTTGCCTTTGAGGAAATGGCTAGGAGCCTGGGACAGGCGCAGAGGAATCCGATTGCCTATCCTCCAACGACCGCCATGCTCGCGCCTCTGTCGCAGAGCACGGGCCTGAGCCCGCGCCAGACTGTCATGCGAGCTGGGCTGCGGTTTGACGCCAGGACGAGGCAGCCGGCCGGCAGCTCCCCATCAACCCTCGTGCCCTCGTCAGCTAGGAGCGACGACGGAGGTGGATCGGCCGACTCGTTCCATCACCAGGTCGTCTCCCGCACCACGACGAACGCCTCTGCACGCACTTCACCCTCGCTCTCCTATACACTACCCCATCGCCATCACCAAGAGCAAGACCAACAGCATGATGACGAAGAAGATGCGAAGTCGGTCATGGGAGATTCATTTGCTCTCGGGTCTGAAATCTCGTTTGGGAGCGAAAGGTTTCAGCTTCATCCTCATCCAGAGTCGTGTACCTCCTCTTCCCCCTCTTCCTCGTCGGCCAGATCGGCCAGTGGACGTGCACAGCTGCTCGCTTTGGAGCAGCAGGCCTCATACCGGGCAGACAGCAGCGGCCATGGGAACGCGAATGCGATAGAAGACAGCCTATTGCCTCCCGGGGCAGATGGCCCTGGACAACGCACCTCGAGATCGTTTTCCGATGGCGTCAACCGATCCATGTCGCTTCCACGGCCCATCATTGACCCTGCCGAAGCGCACCGGAGAGCTTCAATTCCTTTGCGATCCGAGCCACCGTCCCCAAAGGCAGCTTCTGCCACGAAACCACGTTTCCTTGGTCTTCATCATTACGCCAGACATCCGATGCAGTCGCAACCATCGCTCCGACACTATCCTGCGAACGTTCCACATGCATTGGGCCACTTGCCAGGAATCAGTGGCGTGCACAGCTTGCAGCCGGCCATGGCCTCGCTCTCCGTCAACAACAACCAGATGTCGCATTGTAGTTTGCCTCCGTCCGCCAATGGTCACATGGCTCCGCATCAGACCCGTCGCACTTCACCGAGGAGCAACTCCGGGTCGAGTCAGGCTGATGCCTCTTCGCCATTGCGAACCGCAAGCGATGTTGTCGTCGCGAGTGCGGGGCCCGGCGGAGGAGGCGGAGGGAGCATCGTGGGTCACGGGCAGTCACCTTACCTGTCGCACTCGTCATGGAGCTTCCTCCAGCCGTCCTCTGCCACCATGTACACCGACCCGACGCAAAATACTCTCTATTCGTCCTACGCCACCCCAGGAGTGATTCCTGGGAGCAGGGACAGTATAGAGGGCATCGAGAGCGTCAGCGACCGCTTCGTACTCGACGATGACGACGACGGCGCCGCGAGCATCTCTGATGGAACGCTTGATGAGCTTGCCAGAGTCTCGGCCCTTGAGGCTGATGGCGTCGACAGCCCCACGCTACCCTCCGAACAGAAAAAACGTCATCGTCACCCTGCTGCACCCAGGCGTTCGCCTTCGCATCACCTCCGAACGGCCGGCAGTGGTAACGACCATGCGGCTGTCCGTTCATGGGCCGTGCAGCAGTCACAGAGAATGGAGCAGGAAAAAAGTGGCAAGGCGGCTGTGCGCACGTCTTCGCCCTCGCTTCCGCCCGCCTCTTCTCCCACTTTCTCGTCTCCCCTTAGCCCGGTGATGATGGCCAAGTCGATCTCATCGGCGAATTCGTCACCCCCTCATGCCGTCCAGTTGCCAAATTTTGGCGAGGCAGATGGCTTTGCGGGTCACGACGAGAATGCTAAACACACTCAAGATGACGAAGAAGATCTGGGGGACACGACAGCAGTCATGTCCTCTCCTACAGCATCGAAGTCAAAGGCTTTTCTGGAGATGTCGGACTACGTCCTCGATGATGATGAGCGAACGCCAACAGCGCCTGTCCGCTCTTTTACCAAGCAGCAGCGAAAGCCGTCTTGATCTTTCGCAAGGAGGTCGCGTCGTCGTTTCAACGCTTTCTCCTCTTGTCTTTACAGATGAACCACTCTTTCTCCTACTCTGCTCTCTAGCCGGCCGTAGAGCCACCCTCAGCATGTCACTCTAATGATTCCGCTCACCTTTGTCTCGGCTTCTCTCGTCACACGTCGTATCATACACATACTCGGGTCTCTTCCTCTCACCAATTTACCACTATTATCACCACTAGCACTTCAGAAGTCAAATCCCATCACTCCAGAGGGAAAACAGAGGTTTTCTTGTCTGCGGCATCTCAAATTGCTCCTTCTCACAGCTTGGACAGAACCTTGAGTATTGACTTTGCTGCTCGCTCGCCAGAGAGAACGGCGCCAGCGACGCTTCCACGGTGATTGAGATCGCATGCCTCGCCGGCAAAGGACAGCCGACCATCCCAGACGGGCCTCGAGAGCTCTTCAAAATCCAATGGAGAGTTTGACGGATCGCCGATGACGACAGGCGTCGTTGTAGCCCCCCTCGTGAATGGCTGCTGGCCCCATCGAGAGTAGAAGGTGTGTCTCAGCTTTGGCTGAGTCGTGTCTGAGGGATTCTTGAGGCGTGCATAGAGGTAGTCGTGCAGAGCCTCTGCGACCTCGAGCCTCGTGTACTGCTCGATGTCCTTTGCAGCCTGCGCACCGACCATAACGAGGAGGCTGTTGGTGCTGCCGGGAAGGCCGTGCGGGGCGCACAGCGAAGAGACGATCAGGGTCGTTTCACGGAAAGTGTCGGCAAGCGACGGGCTTGCAGACGGAGAGGAGCTGCTGGTGGGCAGTACAAAGAATGTACCGGTCTCGAGCGGCCACCACGGGGTTTCGTAAGTCAGGAGGACCTGGGCAAGCGTATCAACGTCTGAATTGCTCGGCGGGAAGACAAGGGAGGAGCAAGAAGAGACGCACCTTGTTGAGATTGCCTACGTTGACACGATCAATGATATCTTGCTTTCTGGCAGGCAGCTTTGGCTTGAACAGATTTCCGTGTGTCTCTTTCAGAACGGCAAGCGGGATAGTGACGAGGGCCGACTTCGCCGTGTAGACAACATCTTTCCCCTTGCCTTCTTCGTCTTTTGCAGAAACTTCAACACACTGCTGCTGCTGCTGCTGCTGCTGCTGCTGCTGAGCCAATGAGTTTGTAATCTGCTCGACGACATGTCCTGTCCTTATTTCGACACCAAGAGAAGTGAGCTCCTTTGCGACGAGGTTGATGAGGCGCGAAAAGCCTCCCTCGGGTGCGCCGTCTGTTCCTGCAAAGTTGTCTTCGAAGCCAGTCCAAGTGAGTGCAATTTGCTCGAGTGAGGTGCCCAGCGGTATGTGCAGGCTGCGCGCAAGTGCGATGGCCAGGTGCTTTTCTTCACTTGTCTCGAGACCTGTGAACAGGGGCGAGGCGGGCGCGAGCAAGAAGGAGGCCAACGAGGGATCCGTGGCCTGGCCGTCCCCTTTGCTCAGACGGCCCGCTGATGTTCGCGCTTGCGACGTTGCAGCCGACTGAGCCGCACTAAGGTTGGCCTGTAGTTTGGCTGCGAGGTCGGCAGCGAGTGGGCCATGGGGACCAATGATCTGAGATGGTGTAGACTTGGGCACATGAACTTTCTGTTAAGACTCGGAGATCAGCGTGCGTCCCGTATCATCGAGGCAGCTCGACGGCGACTCACGACGCCATAACGCTGCGCAAGCTCCTTGACTGGGTTGCCCTCATTATATCCGTGGATCCAGCTGCAGCCGAAATCGACGGCATGGACTGGCTCGTTTGTCGCATTTCGGCTATTGTCCTCGAGGGGCGTGGCATCGTTCCAGGAGTGGGTGAAAGCCCTGCCCCCGATTCTCTTGCGTGCCTCGAGAAGTACTACCCTCTTGCCTGCTTGCGCAAGCTTGAGCGAGGCAATAAGGCCCGACCAGCCCGCGCCGACGACGAGAGTGTCTGCCAAGAGAGGCGTAGTGGACATGTTCGTAGTGGTAGCGAAGCGCAAGGCTCTGTGATTTCCCCCACGCTGACTGGCGCGCGCACACACAGGCACTACCGGTAGCACATCAATCTAGCCAGCAGGCACGGGGCGCGTCCAAACGTTCGGATCTATGGGACCTCATTGATTTCTACGAGAGTCAGTCGGTCAGACTCCAGGTATTGGTTGGGCGAAAAAAAAAGAAGTATGATGAGTAAGAAAACAAGACAACTTGGAGGCAAAGTAGGCAACAAGAGCCCAGGAGCATAAAAGAGATTTTAAACGGTGTGGTCGAGGCGTCACAGTCAACCCTTTTCCTTTCCCTTTTGTTTGGCAGCCGTCTTGACCTTGGCGTCGTTTTCCTTTGCTTGCCGCAAGCTGAGCGCAGCCACGAGAAAGCCCCAAGCTCGGTCCAGCGTGGCCCAATAGCGTGTGTCGAGAAGGCCGATAGCCACGCCATTGGCCCAGGCAGCGTGGACAATGTTGCAATAGTCGAGGAGCTTGCAGATGGGCAAAGAAGAAAGTGCGTCGACGGTGGCCAGGGGAGCGTTCTGTTCCTCGCTGTCGAGTAGCAAAGTTTTTGAGCGCTGTGCTTCCTGCGTCGAGGACAAGGGAAAGGAGCCTGGAGAAGCAGAGGGAAGAGGTGGTGGTGATGGGGGTAGGGGTTGCTGGAATGCCTCTTGACGAACGCGGTCCCAACTGCGAGCGATGTGCTTCATGGGCAAAAGATCGCAGAGAAACTTATCCTCATCGCAGAGGTAGAGGAACCGGTGGGTGAGGACGAAATGCTGCGGTTCTGGTGCTCGCAACGGCACCACAGGGAGCAGACGGCCCTGACCCAATGGCGACCCTAGTGGCGCAGCATCATCTCGTACGGATGCCGGGAAAGCCGGGAGCGAGGCGCATTGCAGAACATACACAAGGGCATGGCAGGGAATTAGGACGCCAGACTCAGAATTCGAAGTCTGCTGGCCATCGTTCCTGCATACAGCCAGTATATGCGTCGACTCGATTCCCCATTTGCGAGAGTCTGTTTCGTGGGTAGGAATGCGGATCATCATGGGAAGTGACGTTCGCAAGCCTGCATCGCCCTCCGCCCTGGATCTGGCCATCTGCTGCTTTGTCGTTCCCTCGTGCCGATTCAAAAGGGTCTTTGTCTCCTCCAAAAGTGCCTCTCTTCCGCCATCTATGACCTGAACCCAGGCGTGTATTGCGTACTCGGGGGTTATGCCACTTGCTTTGGCAAAATCAGCTGCCTCCTGGTGCAGACCGTGTCGACGAAGATGCTCGGGAAGATGATCATAAGGTGTCGAAATGACAGCCAGCTGTGGGCGTGGGAGATGTAGAGGTAGCCTCCCCATGACGCGAGAGGGGGACCTCAGCGGAGACGAAGGAGCCATCGAATGGAAATGACTGGCACCATATGGTGAGATGGCAGCCAGGCTGACTCCGATTTCGCCGCAGGCAACATCTGTTCTTTCGAAGTTAAGGCTGAGAGAGTTCATCTGTTGCTTGCGATTGCCTTGGGAGCTCTTCACACCTTTGCGAGCTTCTTCTGCGTGCCAGGCCGACGATACTGGGCAAGAAGTTGATGAAGATGAAGATGAGGACGATGTCGACGAAGCAACATTAGCAACGGGGACAGTAGAGGAAGAGGACGACGCTTGAGATGAAGAAGGGAATAGCGTCAATGTCGAGAGTAGCTCGGGCTTGAAGTCATCGAGAGAATCTAAGTCGAGACCACTGGCGGAGAGGCAGCCAGACATGAAGACAGGCGATTGTGAAATGCTCTGCCAGTCAGTGTCGGAGAACAAAGTAGCGCGGGCTGCTTTTGGTGTCGTGGCCGAAGACGATCCTGACGGTGGGGACGACCGACCGTCAAAGTCGTTGGACCAGAGAGTGCTAGAGAGACCCCTCGGTGTCGCCTGACTCTCAGTCGAGCCGGCTGATAGATGCTCCTCGCCATCACTGTGGTCAAGCATCGCGGTAAATTCTTCTCGGCCCGGTGATGCACTTCCTCGTGGCGAGCGGCTCCACGACTGCATCCGTCTGAGCCAATTATCTTGCTTTCGAATCAGTGCTTGAAGCCGCTGTACGTGGTGGCTAGGACAGTCCGAATTCCAGTGTTGTAGAGGAAAAATTTGTCGAGAGTAGCAATCTGGCGACCGGTAGCGAGAGCTCTGACTGCTAAGGGCTGCAATCTTGAGAGCATTGTACTTCCAACCTGTCAATCACACTTGCAGCTTGGTGTCGGCGTCTATTTTGTCCGGAGCAGTGCTCTTCTTGGTTGCTTCAGCGAAGAGTAGAATCCGAGAGCGTTCGAAAGGGCTTCCTGCTCTCATGGAACGTAAAGTAAGCTCGTCAGCGAGTGACTGCTGCGTTGGCCTTATCCCAAACTTTACCCACCTGAAGCCGCGTTTAGATTCTGACCCTACTCTCTCTGATCGTTTCTTTCGACCTTGCGGCCACCAACCACAGCTGTTCTGGCTTCTATGGCTGCTGTGAGGGGCGGAAGAATGGAATGATTAGCAGGTGACACGAGCTCTGGTTTGCTCACCTACTCTAAACTTCCTAAAGGGTCTGTGCGCCGACGCATCTCGTGCAAGTTACTACTACTGTGTGGATTTGCTAACTCAAGATAGACGTCGAGGAGCAGCGCCCTCTTCCACCACCAGCCAAAGTGAAAGAGGCTGGCATCTCCTGTTGAGTGAAGGGCTTTAAAGTCCACTGTTCAAGTTCCTTTCCACTCCAAATCGCACAGGTTGCAGCCAAGAAGTTAGGACGGCTCGATGTGCCTTGTGTCAAACACACTTCCTGTATGTGCAGCGAGACTCTTTCTCGAGGATGGGCAAGACAGAGCTAGTCTGAGGCTACGTCCCTGGAGAGAGGGACTCTGGACGACCTCCCAAACGGGCTCTCACGGTCGTGTCTCCTCCGAGGACACATAATCACGCTTGGTACCTAAGCTAGCGTGAATCGAGCGCCACAGTCGAATTCTATAATATGAATAGGCTCGCTTGCTCTCTTGTAGTGTAGCAATTTGATACCGTCCTACACGGAGAGAGCACCTGCCGGGCCATTCTGCTACGCCATCACAAAGCGCACTCACGATAAGAATAGTGCAAAGACTTGGCAATATTCCAACACCATTACTGCTACTACATCTACTGGTACACCTCCGAGAACACATACTCTTCCAGTCTTCGCCAGTCTCCAACGGCGCCGTTGGAGTCCCACAGCTCGACAGCGTGCAGGGTAATGTGATCCATGTGGTCAAGAGTAATACCGGCTCGGCCCTGCTCCCTTTTAAAGACACCTTGACTTTCCATCACTGCGATCTCAGCATCGGCTTGCTCTTCGTCGAGATCTGCGTAGACCAAGGAGCAGTGGGGAAAGTAGCTTGGCTCGCTCTCATCGACACTGAACGCTCTTCGCATGGCCTCGTTCAGCCCCATCAGATCCTTCGTTTTTTCAAGGGCGACGACGATGCACTGCAAGGCACTCAGTCTGACCCGTTAGCGGACGCTTCTCCTTAGATCTGTTGCAAAGCTCGTCTCCTCGGAGCAAGCTAACCTGAAAATAGGAACCTCTCGTGACCACGTCTTGCAGCGGGCAGACTATGGGTGCTTCCCCTCTCTGCCGTTTGTCCTTCAGCACCTTGAGAGTCTTTGCCCATACTGCCTGCCTCGTCCAGCCCTTGCCCTCCTGGAGGCCTGCAAGCAGAGTTACGTGAGGTTCAAAGCGAGCAGAGACCGAAGTCGGCCCATGGCTTGCGGCGACCTCGTCTCGAAGGTTGCCCATTAATTTGCGCAAGGCTTCTGCTTGTCCCGAAGGTCCGCGAGGCACGAGCCACAGGCTTAGCCCTGCAAATTTACCGGAAGAAGCGGACGACATCGTCGAGATCAGTTTAGGAGATCGTGTACGTGAGTGGTCGGTGCATAGAGGTTTCGCTAAAGAATGAACCAGCTGCAAGCGGACTTGTGGAGCAGCAGCAATCGCCCTGGGAGCCAGCAAGAGATCGAATGCAGCCATCAAAAAAGACACGCGGATCGCTCTTCAGTGTACGGGCATTCCACAGCTCCAACTGACTCACCCATAAATGCGAACCGACTGCTGCGACTTCTCACTGTGAACTCCGTCGGTCTAGGAAGGAGATATCGATATGACGCGTCCGGCACTGGCGGGAAAAACAAGGCTCGAGGCGCGCGATCTTGGAACGAATATCTCGAAGCGGGCGGCGCGTGCCTCTCCAAGCGCCCTAGCTTACCGGTAGGCTAAAAAGAAGCCGGCGAAATAAGAGAAAGAAAATGGGGAATGAATGGCCATGCCTGTTGAGCTACCTCACAAGATGACATTTATTAAGTTAACCATTCTTGCGCAAGCCTTGCTCGTCAATGCGAAGGAGCAGTACGTACCAGGGCATGCGAACGGAGAGAGCGATGAGCGCGATCCGGGTCCAGTACTTATGTCGTCCCTTCCCGTCACTACACTAATCGTTTGGTATTACTATTCGGACAACGTCCGATCAATCATGACCAAGCCCCTTTATTTACGGCTAATTGGTAGATGTAGTCCAGGGCGGTAGTCGTGGTACATCGGCATTTTGTCGGCAGGACGACATACAGCATCGGATCAGAACCATACACTTGCGACAATCGCTGGAATCTTCGCCAACTCCACAAGGTTTACGCAGTAGAGCAGTAGTAGCGTTGAATACGCATGCATGGATGCTCTGATCTGTCTCCATTTCGACTGACAGCGAAGTACGTCGTGATGCAGTCAGTCCTCTGTCCTTTTCCCGCGCCCTTCTGTCGGCAGTCCTCCGCTTGCGCGCACAAAATTTATACGCATTCCCACCAGACTTGCGGTCGATGACATACCGTCGACCCTAGCCTCTTGGTTGATTGGCCGGGTGCGGTAATGACAACTTCTACCTTTCTACGCTGATCTTGAAGAGGTGTTTACGTGTGTCATTGATTCGCGACCCTCTGGGCTTCTTCTACCACCGGTATAAGAGAACGACTGTCTCCGCCTGCGCCACTTCTTTCCCCTTTCCTCTCACCACTCTGTCCGATCTAGATCCTTCGATCACCTCTTCCTTCCCCTCCCATTTCCGTCCTCCCTTCCCCCACCGCTCTTCACACGCTCTTTTAAAACGTGAGCTGCGAGTGCGTCGTGATTGCATTGTTGAGCAAGAACTAACACAGGGCCACCAGAATGCGCTGCAACGCCTCCCTCTTTGCCTTCACGGCGCTGGCCATCGCCATGGCCAAAGCTGCTCCTATTCAGACTCGCGACGGTCTCCTCGACCTCAGCGACCTTGGCTCCGTCGAGCACTGGAGCAAGGACACGGGTGCCGCCGCAAAGGGCGGTGCTGGCGTCAAGCGCGCCCACAACGAGCGCCTCGCTGTTCGCAGCCTCATCGACGCCACCTCTGTCCTCTCCGTCGAGCACGGAGCACAGGGCTCGGGTGCTGCGGCTGCCGAGAAGCAGCGCAGGGCTGTCCTCGCTCTGCACCAGACTCTCCACGCTCGCAACGATGGTGATGACGACGACGACAGCCTCCTGGATCTGAGTGACCTCGGTTCTGTGGAGCACGACGCTGCCTCGACGGGCTCGGCTGCCCAGGGCGGTGCTGCCCGCCGCGATGGCCTGCTGGACCTCAGCGATCTCGGCTCGGTCGGTCACAGTTCCAAGGACACCGGTGCTGCTGCCAAGGGTGGTGCCGCTCGTCGCGACGGTCTCCTGGACTTGAGCGACCTCGGCTCTGTGGAGCACTGGGCTCAATCCACCGGCTCGGCCGCCGAGGGCGGCGCCAGTCGTCGTGACGGTCTCCTTGACCTGAGCGACCTCGGCTCTGTCGAGCACGGCGCTCACGCCACCGGCTCCGCCGCCGAGGGATCGAGCAGCGTCAAGGCTCGTCGTGAGCGCCTGGCTCTCCGCGACCTTATTGACGCTGCTTCCATTCTCTCCGTCGAACATGGCGCAAAGGCCTCGGGCGCTGCCGCCAGCGACGTGCACGAGAAGCAGCGTCGCGCCGTCCTGGAGCTGCACCAGGCCCTGCACTCGCGTGACGACGGCAGCCTCATTGACCTGTCTGACGCCCTTAGCGTCGAGAAGGGCGCCAAGGACACGGGCGCTACGGCCGGCGACGTCTCGACCGACAACATCAAGCGCGACCTTGTCAGCGCTGATGCCCTCGCAGCCCCCGGCGCTACTCACGTCGAAAAGGGCTCGGACGACCTCCTGAGCGCAGACGGTGCCGTTAGCCCCGGTGCCGACGCATTCGAGGCCCGTGACCTCATCTCGGCTCAGTCCGTTGGTGCTCCTGGCGCCAAGTCGGCCGAGGCATTC